CACTAGAGCAGCAGATTTAATATTTTAAAATATGCATATGATATATAAAGATTTTACAAGGTATAATTGTAAAGATTTTTACCAAAGCAGAGTCAGGTGGGGAAGAGTGCAAAAGGGCTGTCTGTGCTCTGGAGAGCAGGGAGATCCAGTCAAAAGCTTGGAGGTCACAGTCCCGTGTGAGTCCACCTCAGGAAGCCCAGGGTCTGTGCTGTAAGGCGGGACATTCTGGGCTGGAAGCCTGGGACGGAGACCAGAGATGAAGGGAAGACTGGAGCTCCTCGTCAGGAGCAGAAGGAAACTTCTTTTTCTCTTATTTGATCCAGGCTACAAGCCTATGGGTTGGTGCCTCCCATGGCCATGGTCTTCCCATGGTCTTCCACGTTCAGTAAGTCAGTCATTCTGATGCCTCCAGAACTGCAAAAGCAATGGGCTAGGTGGATCTTCCTCCAGTTGACACCATGGTTAACTGTCACAATAGGTGGGGCAATTTTATGGAAGAAGATATTATGTTTGCTTTGGTTCACATCTACTTTTTGAGGTGTGGACTATTTCTCAAAAATACTTTGGGTTCCATCCCTGGTACCCCGCCCCCACCAAAAGAGCTGAATCAAAAATACTTTCACTCCCTTCAAAGTTTTGCACATTTCATGTTAAATTTCCTCCAGGTCCCAAGTTTTTAGCATCTTTGTATGTAGAGATTTCTCTATCACTGTAGCTTGTAACTGGTAATTGTTTATGTAAGTGAAAAGTTGTTTGCTGTTTTGTTTATTGCCTTTTCTTCTTTTATTTCTTTTATTTTTATTTTTTGAGACAGTAGTAGTTCAGGCTGGCCTTGAACTTGCAGCAATCCTGCCTCTGGCTCCGAAGTGCTGGGATTACAGGCATAGGCCACTATGCCAACCACGCCCTGCTTCTTGATTGAATTCTTTTATGCAGTACTGAGTGCTTTCTTTTTTTTCCTGCCATACAGAGGATTGATCTCAGGATCTGGGGCTTGTGAGGTAGGTGCGGTGCCACTGAACTAAATCCTCTGCACTGAGAGCTTTTTAACAGCCCCGTCTCTTCCTCCAAGTAAGCGTGTTTATTTTCCTAAAACCTATATATTAGTAGCAAGGGTTTACTGAAGTATTAGGAGATTTCTTTTCTGCCGCATTTCAACCACAACTTGTGAAAGTGGATCAATGAAAATTAAGAAATGCTTGTTTCGATTTAGTGTCATTGCAAATCATCACACATCAAAATTTAAAGTCCTAACATACAATAATGTCAATTTTATGACTGGTATCTGGGAACATGAGTTATTTGATAGGTCTGGCCCCCATATGAGTTCCTGAGCTCAGACAGAGAACAATCACAGCTCAGAGAACAATCCTACATCCTGAGACTGGGAACAGTGCATTTACTAGGATGGGACACCTGCCACACTTGCTAGGTCACAGCACCTGTACGGCCACCTCTCAGCCATTCTTGCTTTCCAACCTCATGCCCCAGCCTTTAGGTTACCCCACCAAAACCCTGTCCCACTAAACTCCCTACCCTATCCATGAAAGACCCAGCTACTCCAGAAGCTACTGCGGGAGGTCCTGCCCAGAACTCCTGAATTCAGGATGGCTGTGTCCTGTATGTACTGGGTCGTCACTGTTTACCTAATAGTATGTTTCTTTCGTGTGGATCCCTTCACATTTTTAGACAAATTTTAAAGATCATTTACTGATATTGAACAGATTACACTTGTATGAATTTGAACTACTCCAAAGTTTAATACCATAACGGGTAGAGGATAAAGAGATTTTTTTGTATTGTTCAGATTTCCAAAAGGCAGTAGACACAGATAGTTTTTTAAAAAGTTCTATGTTTTGTTTGTTCAAATATATTGACTAAAGGCAGCACACAATTAAGCACCTAATTGTATTGAAAATACAATGAACATTTAGGAAAATTCTCCCCAGTTGCAAAGTTGTTTTTGTGCTCCTATAATCATTTTAATTGCTCTTTAATTTCTCTATTGAAACTATTTGTCTGCATCCTAATGACTGCAGTAGACTTTTAATTACATGTTAGTGCTGGGTTAATTTACACCTATTGGCTAAGACTCACACCCAAGTCACTGCAGGATCCAACAGGAAAGTTTTCTCAGAAAATAAAACATGAGAAATATCTGGTGTCTGCACTTAGTATCCAGAAATCAAAACCGAAAGGGAAAATAAAAAGATGTGTACGTGCTTCATATTACAGAGGCCCTGGCCTGTGGCAGCTGAGTACAGATTTTCTTTTTTCTTTCTTTTTTTTTTTCCTTTTGCTTGACAAGAACTCCTGGCAGGCAGTTCAGCTGTTTTGCACCGCAGTCAAAGACTCCAGCTCTTTCTGTCCCTGTCCTTCACCATCTTTATAAGAGATTGTTTTTGTCTTCTAGTGTATCATCCTACGGTTCAGGAGGCCTGAACCATATTTTTATAAAACATTGTTCTGTTCTAACATGGGAGAAAAAGTGCACATACAAAAATCCTTATCTTCAGAATTCTCTGCTTATTTTTTTTCGATAAAAAAAAAAAAGATGCATTTCCAGAATTGCCAGAATAGCTTTCTTCACTGAGCACATGGGGTAGAACCAAGTTGCACACTTGTCCCCACCTGTCTCCTTCCCTTGGAACCAGGTATTCTTTACCCACTACCTTCACATAGCTGAGACCCTATTTGCAGGAAGAATGGAATGGGTTTTAGGTGGACAAAAGATAGCATCTGTCATACCTTGACTATCAAGACATGCCTTTACTCTTCCCTAACATTCTTTTTTCTTTTTTTTCGAGACAGGGTCTCACTTTGTAGTTGAGGCTGACCTGGAACTCACTGTGTAGCCCAGGCTGGTCTTGATCTCACAGCAATCCTCCTGCCTCAGCCTCCGGAGTGCTGGGATTACAGGCATGTGCCACCACGCCCAGATTCTTCTCTAATATTTGAATGATAGTTTGGAAGGTAGCTATGCTTACCACTGTACCAACAATGCTTGAATGATAGTTTGAATGAAGCTTTCAGGGTAGAAATTTCTTTTTTAAAATGGAGGAGGGATTTCTCCCTTGCCCTCCAGTCTCTCATGTTGCAAGAAGAAATAATCTTATTTTGGAGGGAGAGGGTAGGTTAATGTGTTTTATTCTTTCAAAGATTTTAAGATCTCCTCTTTCCCCTTGATAAAGGATGCCTTAGGGCCAAACAACTTATGTATTTGAATTCTTGAACATTTTCCTGAATTTTTTCCTTCATAATTGCTACCGGACATTCTCTGTCGATGGCACCTGCCATCCTGCTGTAGGATGTCTTGGATGGGTCTCTGGTTTTCCTATCCTTTCCTGACCTCCATTTCTTTGTCATAGGTTCTATTTTCTGGATAAGTTACTCAATTTTATCTTATAACTTTTTATTGAACATTTCAAACCAGCTTTTAAATGTATAATTTCTAAGAACTTTATGTTACTCTCTGAATTTTAAAAATGCCTCCCTGTTCCAGTTTAACGAGTAGGGGATCCTCTGCTGTCTTCCTGGAGGTTTTAGTTTCTTTCTGCCTTAATCCCCTTCTGTGTTTGTTCCTGTTGGTCTTTATCTCCCGTTCATGGTGGAGTTTTCCGGGAGGGACTGGGGCCTATGACTGTCTACTCAGATTTAGAGGCAGAGAGCTAAGCTGAGGTCACTGCACTGGGACCTCAAGGGCAGCCTCTCTAGGGAACAGCAGGCAGGGCTGCTTCCCTGGGGAGCCTGTGGTGGTCCTGTCTGTAGGTCTTTACCCCAGAGTTTCCGAATCTGTCTGTGGGTATGGACCCAGGCTTCCAGGCACTGAGTTAGGGAAGCGAAGTGACATCTCACCTTTCAAATGTCAAATTCCCGTTTTCAAAGTCCTAAGGCAGGGCAGAGTTGGTAGGGGCCAGATGCTTCTTGTCCAGATATACCTACATCTTGAATTCCTGGATACTTCGGGGGTCCTGTGGGGTAGATCTAGTTGGCTTCTTCATGCTGCCCTCTTAGGTTTTCAGCCTTCTCTTGTTCACTAAATCAAACTTTGGTCACAGCTATCCTTTTCATACTTTTAGATTTATACCTTACAATTATTGCAAAACCATTTCTAAATTTTATTAAGATAGTTTCAAGAGAAAGTAAGTGAAGAAAAATGAACGACTGCTGCATCTGTCTGGGAGATTCCCTTCTACACACACACACACACACACACACACACACACGCACACACCTACATATGTGTGTGTACCACTTTCTTACAGATGTACAGAGAGAAGACTGTAAGTTGTACACATGATACTACATACTAAAGATTTTTTTAATGCAAAAGTCAATGTAGTTTTATCTCTTTTTAACTTATAACTTTTCCCTCTTTTACTATGTATTGATTTCTTTATTTGATCTTGGGTGATTCATTTAAAAATCTGAATCAGAGCTGAACTAATCTCTCTACACCAGAAAGATGTGCTGTCAGCATATGATTTTTAGCGCTGTTCATTCAAATGGCTAATACACGTTGTTATTCTTTTATAATCCCAGTGCTAAACTCTTTTCCTGGATTTTTTTTCTTTATTTGGTACTGGGGATTGAACTTGGGACCTTGCGCATGTGAGGCAGGCAGTGGCACCACTGAGCTAAATCCCTGGCCCTTTTCCTGGATTATTTTACTTAATTCCTTGAAGAATGCTGTGAGGTAGGAGTTATTTTTAGTTCTATTTTGCAGATGAAGAAATTCATACTGGAAAATTCAGATTCCATGTTTTCTGCCTCCAAAATGCATTCTCCTCCTCCATCCCCCAACAATGATTCTGGATTCTAGAGAGGCCAACAGCAGGTGTCAGAAAACACTTTCCAGTTTGCAGAGGGTGGAAGAGCTTGAACTTTGGTTTCAGTTTATCTGGCTTGAATTCAGGGTTGCTACTCACTGGCTCTGTTAACATTTGCTAGCTTTGTAAACAGCAGGCACTGGCTGCTTTCATTGCTTGGAAAAGGTGCATAATATCGTTCATGAAAGAGTAAGACATGCAGTGTAGCTAGAATCCGTAGTACAGGACGCCTTTCTTCTCCCTTCCTTCACTTTGAACTGGTGGAGATGACTCTGGTGGAGATGCTTTGGGGAGGACAATGGACGAGTGGAGAGCACTAAGGTAAAGAGTCCTGGGAGGCTATGCTCCCTCTGTAGGGAAGGGCTGAGGTGTGTCGCTTGGCCCGACCTGAGTTCCTGGTTTGTGTCCTTGAAAGAATGCAGTGCATTTTCACCTAAGGCTGACTCTGGGTGGTGCCACGCAAGCAAGCGCTGTCTGATCCTGCTCTGCAGTGCTTGTTACCCAATTTCCTCAGAGAGGGACCCAGTACAGACAGAGTGGGCAGGGTGGGGTGCACAAGGCTCACTGTTTGAGGGTGCTCAGCAGGGGAGAAACTCTCCTAAAAAACGGGAGGGAACTGAAGATCCTTCAAGTTCGGGAAGGGCAGGTGCTGGGGACCTTTGGGGCCTGGGAGCGTTCCTCAGAGGGGTCTTGAAGTAAGTTTCATGGTGTTTTCCGTAACGAGTCTCCACTGAGTGCACTTTGTGGCCGGTGTGGCTCTGGGAGGTGAGAGGCAGGAGAGTGGGAGAGCAGGGGCTGTGGGAGGCCTCTCTGGTTTGGAATCCTCCTTAGATGCAGGGGGCTCTCAAGCCAGTTATTTACCCCTGAGTCAGCTCCTTCTCTGTCAGCTGGGGAGAATGGTGACCTCGAGTTTCCATGAAGTCAGGGAGTTAATGCCTACTGCTTTATTTTCAGCAGTGCCTGCCACATGCACAGTGCCCAGTACATTGTGGCTAATTTTTTTTTTTTAGCTTTAATTGAGTTTATTTGTACATCTTAGGGATACAGTACAGTTACATTCATTGTTGGGATCTTGTACCTCTACATGACAAGTCTTGATTCTCATTTTTCCCCCCTTACCCCTGCCCTCCCTTCCCCCCCTCCTCCCCTCCCCATCTACAAGCATTTTATTTTCATCTTTTCATTATCTCACATTTTTTTTCTTTTCTCTTACTACCCTTCCCCTACCCATCCCACCTTCCCTACACCTTTATCTCCATTCTTCCCATTCATTGTGGCTAGTTTTATGTGCCAAGAGATCAGAAATTTTCAGCCTTAGGACTGCCACTTGGAGGCCTTGCTCCCAGGGGATGGTGGAATCTTGTCCAGATAATTATAATGGAGAGCATCCAGTGGATCCCAGAAGTCCTTTCCAATTCCGTCTCAGGCAGATTCCAAATTACACCTCTTGGCTTCATGTCTGAATCTTTCTTCCCTAGTTCCTCACTAGTCTTTGTTCTCATGTTCTTCCTTTTGTGGATGAAGACTACAGTGCAATGCTGGTGAGCCCAGAGTGAGGGTCAGCCGTACACAGTGTCTTGTGCTTGGACAAGTTGCAGTGGTGAAGTTCAGGGGACATTTTACAATTTACAAATTTTGAGTTGTAGTAAAAGTGCCCAAAAGTACACTTTATCCACTCTCCCCTCCCTGAGGGCCAGTGACTTAGCCACCCAAGTCACAGGCAAGATGAAGGTAAGACTAGAGTTCAGATCTCCTGGCAATTTTAGAATTGAAAGCACTTCTGAACAGTTCATGGCTCAAAATGTACTGATCTTTTAGGTGATAACACTGAAGTCCAGTAAGCAAACTTGCTTATTAAATCGTATTTGGAAAGGTGCCAAATATATTCACAGAATGAGTGAAAAAATGCGCAAACTTCCTAAGAACGGCTACAGTGTACAAAGAAAAATTTGCTACCTACTGCCTTTAATTTTCTTTAGCCCAGAGAAGGAGAAACAAAAGACAAAAAATAAACAACAAAGGTTCTTATTGGTAGTTATTACTCAAAATGAGCACAGACGAGCTCTACTGCCATGTCTTGGCCTAAAATGACCTTGGTCTTCCTTGAACACAGTCTGCACCTAACTCTTATATAAGACTATTAGAATCTAGTCTTTAAAGCCCATGAAAAAATGTTGTAAAATGTTCCTTTATTAGGCTGGGAGCTTCATTTTACTGGATGTTCAACTTCGAGCTGATATTTAGGCTCTCATTCTTGTTTGATGTAAGAGAATTATCTAGGTCAGTGTTCAATAATTATTATGTGGGAACCATGAAAAACCTAGGACATTCTCAATAACCACCTCCCAAGGAAAATGTTTTTATTTCCCTTGGAGGCTTGGATAAGCAAGTTCTCTGCTGCCACGGGATGCAATGTGTAACATTGTTTGAAAAAGAAATCAAAGAGAAAAAGGTAGAGAAATGTGCGGCAAGGTTTCTACTCATGAATTCTTTGATGGTGAGGGCTAATGAGATTTGGGTGTCATTTTGCACAGAAAGCTAAAAGATAGAGGTTCTTTTTATAAGCAAATCCAAGCTCTTTATCAGAGCCCACAAGGCCTAGCTTGCCTGGGACCAAATCTTCTAATACCATATGCTCCCTCCCTCATTCCAGCCCTGCTTCCTTCTTTCATTTCTTTGAGGCCTTCCTTGTCTTCCTTCCCTTCAGGCTTCAGGTTAAGTCTCCTTTCCTCAGAGAGTCTGTTCCTGAATTCCCCAACCAAGTAGATACCTCACTATTCCCTATCGCTGCCTGATTTCATCCGTCATAGAACTGCTCACAATTTCCACTTATACTCTTTCTGTTCGTGTACCTACTACTAGGTTATGAGCTCACATAGGGCAAGAGCATTTTCTCCCCATGCACTGGTGCTACGTAGCCAGCACATAGCCAGCGCAGAATAGGGACTCAACATAGGATTGCATGGAACGAGCTCAGATGCTAAAGGCTTCTGTGTCAGTTCTGCTCAAAACTCATTAGCCACGTGACCAATTACTTCTCTGGGAACCCAAATCTGTAAATGGTGATGATGTTAGATGATATTCTGTTGTGAGAATTTACTGCAATAATACCTAAAAGGTGCCTGATATCCAGTAAGCACTTATTAAAGTCAACCATTTTTTTCTTTTTAATTGAGTTTATTGGTACATTTTAGAGATACAGTACAGTTACATTCATTGCTAGGATCTTGTACCTCTACGTGACAGGTCTTGGCTCTCATTTTCTTCCCCTTGTCCCTGCCCTCCCTTCACCCCTCCTCCCCTCCCCATTTACAACTACTTTATTTCCATCTTTTCATTTTCTCACATTTTTTCTTTTCCCTTACCTACCCATCCCACCTTCCCTGCACCTTTAGACCTTTTCTTCCCATTTCACAATGTCAGTCACCTCATTAGGTTCTTATGTACTATTACAGTTTATTCACAAGAGAGAAACTATTCAGTATTTACACATGTATGACTTATTTATTTCACTTAAGAGTATATCCTCAATGTGTATCCATTTTCCTATGAATGAATCTAATTTCTCGTTCAAAGTCCATCATTCTTGTGAGCCACCATCCATGCAAATACAAAGATCTCCTTGGACTGCATCTGCCAGTGGAACCTTTAGGAAGTGAGGCCTCGAGGGAGGTGCTGTGGAGCGCCAGTCTCTTCCTGTTTCCTTTTTACTTCCTGGCTCCTGCAGTGAGAGTTCTGCCCTGCCACACATTCCCACCTGCCATCATGCTGCCTCGCCAGGGACGCAAAGCGGTAAAGCTACATTGCCATGGACTAGAACCTCTGCAACGGCGAGCCATAATAAACCTTTCTCTTTGTGAGTTAATTGCTCTGGATTTTTTTAAAATGACAGGAAGCTGATTAGTATAATCTGGTTAAAATAAATGCAACCAAATGAGCTGGGAGTGAAGAGAACAGAACAAAGGAAAGCTCAAAATCGGGATGAAGCTCATTCTGGAGGCTGGAAAGACAATGAGCTTTGGGGGCAGCGGGTAGGTGAAGGGAAAGAATGTGTTCTAGGGAAACAGATAAAAAGTCTGCAGAGAAGACCTCACTGCTGAATGAATTCCTGGCAACTGTTTGCTTTACCCAAGTCTTAAAATATTAGGTCAAGGGGGTAGAATGTTTGTTTTAAAGACAAGATTAATAGTGCTTATTGCCTCATGAAACACAGCTTAGACTTGTGCTAGAAAAGCCAACAAGTTATGGACGGTTATGATTGGAAGAATATTGTAAGGACAAAAATTAAAAGGCAAGGTACCTGATCACTTGTTTTTGCTGAATTTAACCCTGCTGTCCTGATTTTTTCTTATGTTTTAAAATATAATATATATATTCATATTAATTTTTCAAAACATTGGGTTTCATTGTGGCATTTTCATACATTTATATATAAGATGCCTTGATTATATTCACCTCCTATTACCTTCTTTTACACTTTCCTTCCTCCACTTTCTTGTTTCCTTCCTTTTGTCTAATGGTCTCCTTTCTACTTTCATGTACTTTTTCTTTTCCCCTTAAGATGACACAGATTAGTAAAAACATGATTGTCTTTTTGAGTCTGTTTTATTTTGCTTAACATTATCTTCAGTCCCATATGTTTTCCTTCAAATGACATCATTTTATTCCTTATGGCCGAATATCTGGTTACCCTAAACAAGAGAGAATGCATTTTCTTCATGCCAATTTCTAAATATGGGAGATGGACAAATATGCAGACATTCTCTCAGGTAATAGTCTCTGTCTTTGCAGTTTCTCTGAAAACAAGAAACATCCATAGGACTAATTCTGAAGAATTTTAGACCATGGGATCCCCAAATCCTGCAATGGTGCAGAGTACTGTTCTACTTATTTATTGGGGGTCATGTGAAAGCCACTTACAGCTTACAGTGTCAGTGATATCCCATGCCACCCTGATCAGCTCTCACTGCTCCTTTAAAACAGCATACTCTAATGTGCTTTAGATCAGGTATTTTTATCAGTGAATATTCAAGGTAGCTTTTTCATGAAGTCAATACTAATGAAGATTCACTACTAGTAATAATAGTAGCTCTGATTATGGAGCACTGACTCCATAACATAATGTAATCCTGTCAGCCTCTATAGGAGGCATAGGAATTATTAGCTCCGTTTTATAGATTAAGAAAGTGAGGCAAGATGAGGATGAACATTTTGCTCAAAGTCACCTGGCTGGCAGGAGAAGAAGCTGGATTGACATTTGGGGAATCCAGCTGCAGGTATGCATTTCCTCTAGTAAGATAATCCCAGGGCCCACATGGATTTGTGGGACCATATTATCCTGGGCCATGTTTGGCTTTCAACACTTTCCCTGTCCCAGCTCACTTGAGGGCTAGATGACTGACTGTTTTATGTCCCCCTTTCCACACTATGCTCTGGATTTTGAATTTCTGCCTGAATTTCAGTCTTTTGCCTAACATATACATTTTCCTCGTGAACTCTGTACTTAATGCTTAGCCTTCATGTGGCCCCAGGATTGCAAGAAGAGTTTATCTAAAAGCTACAAAATCAAAGACTGTTTCTTATCAGGAGCACCAGGACCAACTATCCTCTAGGTTGGTGATGAATTTAAACATCAACTAAGGACTTGAGTACATTCAGAAGGAGGCTGGCAATGCCAGGTAACAATGTAGCAATCGAGGTTCAGGCCAAACGGAGGCCTTTCTTTTGGGGATTTTTCTCCTCCTACACAGCTCTGACTGTGGCCCCAACAATTTCTTCAATGTCTCAGCAGATTTGTCAATGTCTCTGTAGGTCCTTCTCAAGTTGTAGCAACTGGATCTGCCCAGCAGCCACAAGAAATTCCTGGAGAATAGCAATCATAGGAGCATTCAGGAGTCTGAAACAGGGGGATGAGGAGGAAGGAAATGGTGGCAAGTCAAGAAGAGTGGGATTCAGCATGCAGGAATGATGCCAAGCCCCACAGTGGGGAAGGCAAGTTCACCCATGCTTCCTGCAGGGATCAAATCGAAGTCTGGTCCTTGCATGAGAACACATTCTGATTGCTTCACAGCCTCTGAATCTTACTCAGCACCTATGACCCTGGCATGTGGTGCATTTTAAATTGTGATTTTAATTGCCATTATCCAAAGCATACCTGTTTCTTTTCTCTTTTTGGTGTAGCTATGGTAGACATCAGTGTGCTTTGCTGAAGTATTCGACAACAGCAGAGATGAAAACTGGGGTATTGGGCCTCTTGGGCCCAGTTAGTTTTGGTTTGGTTAGACTTTAACTAACTGCTAGTATTCCTCTGCTCTGTGCTAATGGGAAAACCTTGTTTTCTCCCTGACAGATCGTATTTGATGATGCCAAATGAGTTACATCTGTTTGCAGAGTCCAGCGATGACTGATAAGAATTCAGTAGGTATCAGGAAGTGCTTTACATAATTGCACAGAAAGAAAATGCTCTCTGCCTTTGACCATTCACCTTTTTTTTTTCCATTCTAAAGACAACCTAGCTTTTGCAGTGTGATAAAATGAGCATTTGAGTGGCGTTAATCCATTTGTAGAGGTCAAGTGGATCGAGATAACATTAAAACTCTAAGGCAGAGAGGAAGGTAACTATACAGGTATTTGCCTCATGCTTTAATGTGAAATTTCACATTCTCAGAGGTCTGCATGACTCCTTCAGGATGTCAAGAAAGAATGTCAAGGAGAAGTGTAGACACTTTCAACAATATATATGTAACCTTGGTATTTTTTTTAAAGAAAGCAAATCAATGTGTCTAGAACTAATGGACAAAACTGATTTATGGTGGAACTGTCAGGGGCTTTTCCTGAAAAACAACAACAACAACAACAACAACAACAACAACAAAAACAGATCCACTCTCTTGCTCAGCTTCCTCAAGGTTTGTCCAGAGCCCACTATGGCTCTGGCTTTTGGGCTCCTGCTCTTTTCTTATAATCTTGATGGTATAAAAGGCATGCTATAACACACTCATGTAGAAATGGAAACATCTCCAGCATTTGCATACAGCCTTCTGTGAGATCAGTTTTAAGAAGCAATACAAGGCTTAGCCTTACTGCACTGAACCCTTGTGGGGTATATTAAAAGTGTGTATGTGTGTGTGTGTGTGTGTGGGTGTGTGTGCGTGCATGCATTTGTGTATTGAGGAATGATGTCACACGTACACTGAATCTCTCTGCCAGATTACCAGTTTGTTCTCAAATCTCAAAAATACATCTATTTTCTTACCCAGCTGAGCACCTCAAGCATGATGTCTCACAGCCTGTAGCCAGGTATCTTCTCAAATTGTCTCCTTCAGGCACAGCCTTATTGTGTTTGCACACTAACCCCTTCCTCACCCAGACCTTCCCTCTCCCAGTCCTCAGCCTGACTCAGAACTCTTCAGCAGACCCTCGCCGCCTAAATTCTGTGACTGGCATAAATGTCCTTTAAAGATTGGGCCACACCTCAACTAGGAGCTTTCAAACACCCACTCTCCCAACTTATTCCACATCCAGCCAAACACAAGAGTGAGTGTCAGGTCGAGAGCAGACAAAGATTGAACTTGAGTAGAATGCTCTCGAGAGGTTTGGAGGATAAGAAGGATTCTGCAAAGGCAACAGGACAGGAGAGAGCAGACAGGAGGGCTGGGAGCAGTTTGGTCGAGCACCGCACAGATGGCATGAAATATAGACTGGGTGCTGCCCAATGGATTGGGCAATCAGAGCTTATTAGTGATCTTGTAATCGAAAGTGACAAGGGAATGGCTTTAGAAGAGCTTGGGAGGAGAGCATACAGATAGGGAGTCATTCCCATAAAGGGGAGCAGAGAAAGAAGGCGCCTATTAGAAGGGAATATGAGGCCAACAAGGTTTTGTTTTGCTCTTAAGGGATGGAGGCTATTGCTGCAGGTTTAAGCATTACATAGAAATGTTCCCCATAAACAGGGAAAAGACAATGAATGAGAGAATAACAAGCGCCAAAGAAGGTTTTTGTCTACTTGGGAGAGAGTGCGAACTTGTGCCCAGTAGAAGGAAGGGAAAGGGCTGGAGAGTTTGCACCATGGGCCACTCATTGTAGTGACAGCAGGGACAATAAACAAATGCTCCGGCGGGGCAGTGAACACAGGAAGACTTGGACCTTGCATGTCTTTGGGCTGAGGACATTCTCTTTGGATGGCTTCTCTATTCTTAATAGAAAATTGAGAAAAGAGCAAGAGGTACTGAAGTAAGAAGGAAAGAGAAGGTGCAAAACAGTCCTTCAGGGAAAGGGAGGAGGGTAAGGAGGGGAAGGCAGGGATTACTTGTTAGCCTTGGCCACTTAGGAAGGCAGGAATTTAAAGTGAGTCCAGGCAGCAGTGGCTGGGGTGTGTCTCTGTGTGTGTGTGTGTGTGTGTGTGTGTGTGTGTGTGTGTGTGTGTGT